CGTGAAATGTGCATATGTAAAATAGGATACCATGGACGGCAAGTCCCTCCTGTCACTGTTCATGCTTTGCCATATTTGGAGGTGCATATAAAGCAACACTCAATAATACACCAATATACCAATTTAGCATTCAGCTGCTTTTAGCGATAACAAGGTGGACTTCAAATCTACGATAGAAACCACTTAATCCAAGGCTGTATGGTGCATACAAGGCAACACTAAATAACCTGGTCGAATCTCTGTTTCGATCACACGACCATAGGATTGTGGCAAGTGAGAGTGACAAATTTTTTCACATAGACGACCGGGCCACGTCTATCTCTGAAAGTGGCGACAGTCCAACATTATTGATAGTTCTTTATGAGCTAATTACTTACAGGCCGTGGTACTTCTTGCCATCACTGGCACAATAGATCCTGTGCTCGTTGGAATGTAACTGACAGATACGATGGTGCGTCATATGGCAATAAACTGAAGTATGGTTACTTGAAGCGCCATCTACAAGTGATTACATGGTTTATGTACTTTTATGCTTGTATTTATATACTCATATTGTAACACATCAAAGCTCCTGTGCTTTTCATGAAGATTTAAAACATATTGTGTTTGAATACAAGATAGCCGTCACAGATCATCTGAAAATGTATGGTTCAAAATATAAAATATATATTCTTCTGGTCAAGCATTTATTTGTCCTTTATAAATGCTTTTGTGAAATATCTGAAAATTTTCATTCCCCCTTATATGTACATACTTTGAAAGGGAAAAAAATGAGGTGTGGATTTCTCTTTGGGCTCAGTACATATAAGATCATGTTTTCTTTAATCATAGTATGACACATTACTCAAAGCTCCTCTCTTTCTCTTGAAGATTTAAAATATATTGGTGTTGTAGACTTTCTACAGATTTATTGTTCAAAATAGAAAGACATGAACTTGTGGTCCAATTTTGTGTCCTTCACAAATGCTATGAAGAAATATCTGGTGATTTTGCATTCCCCCTCAGATATGTACATGTACATAGTTTGAAATGTAATGCTATTATGTGCAGTTTACACTTTGATCCTGATACGTATGAAAGCTATCCTGATCTGTTTTACATGTGCTTTGTTGTGCATACATTAGGTAAAAACATATTGCCCTTGATATAAAAATTCAACAAAACATCATCCAACCGAGGCTTTACTATTTTCCGTAATGAAACTTTTCACAGGGCATTTTAGGAACCTAAGTAGCCTTTGAATTATCCTTCAAAAAACATTTTATATATTTTACTTTGTTCCCGAAATCAAGCGTATTGTCTTTTTCAATCATTTTATCTCGGCTGCAGGATTTGGGAAAACATATGATTAAGAGAAGATGGCTTAGATTCCATGAATCGGCTTCAAAGCATATTGGCAAAGTCATCGTTTTATACAGGCCATTCACAGCCACATGACCTAAAGGTAGATGCATTAGGCGATATCAAGCTGACACATTCCTGTTTTCTTCAATAAATCTAATAAACAATTTTCAGTTCTCATATTCTGATTATTACCATAAATGATTTCCCCATATGTTTTCGTAATACATTTCTTAAGAATTTGTACTTCACACCACTGACAGAGAAAATGCAGGTATTTCGTGACAAGGTCAATAAAAGTCATTTCATAAATAAGATTGGAAGTTTACAAACCTGACATCGTTGTACCGATGACAACGATGGCGACGACAACAAGAGGGACCATCGTTAACATCCAGAACACGACAGCTTTGACCTGTGACGTGGACCGTAGTTTTGGTTTTTATACTGCTGTCCACATTAGGCGACAGGTGCCAGTTTTCCAACTTCTAATCAAATCACGACCCACATTTCCTATTACACGAACAAGGCATTCACTGTGGAATATTTGACGACAAAACTCTTTCCTTTAAAAGAAGAAATGTCTACGGAAAAAAGAGACAATTAAACAGTTACGAGTATTACAAAACCATTAAATAAGCAGTTGTTCCTGAATCACTATCAGTTAATGATGATACCAGGTGTTCGCGAAAAATGCGTGGTAGCTGTCGCAAACATCAAGTTTGTTTGTTAAAATATATCACAGACGCTATTGTGTTTATATTGAGTACGGATTGAGAGAGTTAGTCAGATGAGTTTTTCACCACTTTTAGCAATGTTCCAGTCAGAATGATTTTACGCCAGAAACAGGCTTCACACACTGTTGCTTGTAATGTACATTTTATTCAAATAGTATTAATAGTACACACATCGGATACAATTTAAAAGTAAAAGTAATTTGATTCATATATTGGGAGATAAGGAGTGCTTCAATTATCGAAACAATTATAACGTCAACGTCAAAGCAAAATCTGTCCCGAATATAAAAGGCAAAATAACGATGAAGATTTTATGTTTGGATTTCTAAGTGAAGTGAAGACACCACCTGCCACTCACAATTTTCACATTTGTTCCAAAGTGGGCACAGCACGAGACACAGTGAGTACTTCTCACAAGGGAACAGCATGGCACACAAAGCATGCTTCACCTATTATATCCATGTGGGCACAGCACGGGAAACATGGAATGCGTCATGTGGGAACAGTAAGGGACAGTACTGATTGCTTCAGATATTGTCTCCATTAGGGAACAACACGGTTAACAATATTGTCCCCTGCAGGACACAACACGAGACACACAGAATGCTTCACATATTGTACCCTTTTGGGCACAGCACAAGAAACAAGGGGTGCTTCACATCTTTTTATCCACGTGGGCACAGCACAGCACAAAAGGAGTGCTTCATGGGGTGATTATGTGCCACTATCTGACATCATCTTTGACATCATCTTTAATAACTTCAGATTGTGTTGCGTGACTACAAAGTCCTACAACCCTGTTCTATAAGATTTCAGTCCAAAAAAGTTAAACATTTATTACACTATTGTGGTTCTAGATGCTGATAGGAATTAAACAAACTGAGTATATTTTCAAAGTGTCTGTCTCATTAACCTTTCATCTTAAGGTCAGATTGTGGCCTAAATTGTGACACAATGTAAGCATCAGTCTATGCACTACATTATAGACTTTGCCTTCTGCGAGTGAGGAGATGTTGGTTGTTTATACTGCTTTGACTTGTATAGTGTCCAGCTGATAGTGCTGAAGCCAAGACTCATTTATGCCTACTCTGTTGGCTTTGTGGCATGTGGTGATTCGTTGATCATATTTTATCAAAGCATGCATTATGTCAACATTTGCCTTAGTGATGGCACTTGAAGGTCTTCCTCATCTTGGATTATTTTCAAGGCCCTCTCGAGGAGCATCTTCCGTACTTGGGAAGAGACATGATAACCACACTCTCAAGAATGCATATGGATGAATTCGATTATATATATCCTTAATATTATAAAAAAATACAGTACAGTAACTCAAAAGTGTAATGCGTTCAAACAGATATTTTGAACAATATGTTATCCCTTCAACAGGATCATAGGGTTGCATGATTTTGGTGTCCCTCCTTTCAACGTTAAAGATTATCAAGATAAAAGAATTGGTTAAATCAATGCAGTGAACATCATAGGCAGTATCTAAATGATGAATATTTGTCAAAATTGTAATTTGACTGTGATATTATTAAAACAACAGCAAAAGAAAAATCGCATTAAACAACATAGTGAATTGTCGGATTCACCAGTTGTATGTGTACAGAATTTGGTGTGGTCTTACATTACGCATATATACATGTAGTGTGCACAATTTAGTTCGTATATTCTGCCTTTTTTCGACTGAAACTATAAAATGTTCCCTTCACGTGCTCACGAGTTTGTCTCTTTTCTGGTGTAATCTGTTTAATATGGAGGGTGTAAGTCAGATCAGTCGTTCAGCGATTCCATACCGACTAACACACTGTTGAAACCACCCATTGCCTTGGAGAATTTGAGAAATGCTATTCACAAACTGCAAACATACCATAAACAACATGATCACGTTGTTGGTGTCGTGATACACATTATGTTGAATGTTTTAATAACACTGCTCCTATTTATCACGACAAACGTATCTCGTGCTCGCCGAGAGAATACAACCGCAGGACCAATTTGTGTGTGTGTTGGAATAAATACATACATCATGGACATTCCACAGTAACATTTTATGAAGATGTGAAGACGACATGACAGGAAAGTTTAGAAACCAAAGACGCATTTCTTGAAAAGTTTTAGATTCGTTTGATTGATATGTATTACCATTAATGGTGAGTGCTACATTACACAAACTTGGCATCCTTGCTGTCAAACGGCCAACGTGGGTGGGTGTGTACATGTCATGTCGCGTCAACCGTATACGCATAAAACCAATGACGTGTCTTATCACTCGTATAAGCCCAGCCCAGTCAGTGTAGTGTTCCTACCGCAAACGCCGCTTTAAGGATACACTAAGCATCCTTAGTAGTTAGAATGAGAACTTTTCAGCCACCTTTGGTACCCACAACTGTTATTGTAGCTCGCACTCAAACGATTTCTATATAGAAGTTCAGCTGTGAAGGTTTTTTAAGTATGTATCAAGTGGAATTATATCAGAACTTTTCTTGAAAACTGTTTACAAGATGAATACGAAGTCAGTTCCGCTATGTAACAATTGTTGCATGCCTTTCTGAATTTCATTTGTATGTTCAAAACCTAAGACTAGTTCCTGAGAGACTTATTCCAGAGTTATCACGATCAACCGTCCGCATAACAAGGTCCCCATATCAACTCATAGACAATCAGGGGTTACATCAGACCTATCTTATCCTGGAATTCCCATTAGTAGACAATGTTGATACGTTATTCGTGACGAGCCAGACACAAACAATATTGGAGGTTCACAAACCTGACAGCGTTGCACCTATTGCATCGAGACATAATTCGTTAAGATCCAAGACACAAATGCTTTGACCTGTGAAGTGGACCGTAATTTCGCTTTTTCTTCCACACTTATGTGATGAGTAGTTGACTACTAGGCGTCAGTAAACAAAGACGTTCTACTAAGCCAGGCTTTATTTCCCAATAAGGTGTGGTAATGATTTTCCCGGTTCCAGGAACTCACTGAGATCCATCTCCGTAAGCTCGTAGCCGCCTCCTTCTTTGACCATGATCTCGTTGATCTGATCAAAGTAGTGATTGATGGACGTCCCACCTCCAGCACCGCCTATTGTGAACACAAACAACAGAACCAACTGGTTGTCGATTACGAAAAAGGTAGGGTTGCCACTGTCGGTGGTCACCTTGTACTCGTAGAAGTCGTGCCTGATGGATGTTCTCAGAGGAGCACGTAGTCTCGCGTTGGTGGAGGAGTAAAAGTAAAAGTCATCCACAAGAGCCTTCTCCTCCTGGTCTGTGCTCATGGCTGGAATGTGAATATTGTAAGGCACAAAGAATTTGGTCAGGTTTCTGGGCATCACTTTAGAGAAGGAGATGGTGTTGGGAACATCCCTGTCCAGTTCACCCACCACAATATCATGACCAGATATTCCGTGGACGTTGGGTCCGGACACAGTTTTTGACTTGATGACACGGCGCTCAACTACATTGTTGTTTTGATCAACAAATCTGAGAGTGGAGTTGACCTTGATGCTGTGAAGCCTTGACCACAAAGCGTGTCTTGGAGAAACCAGAGTTCCAGCATTCCTATTTGCCATGTGGCTGTTCCAGGGTGAAATGGAGGTCAGGTCAAGGCCATACGCCCAGCAGTCCTTGTTGCGAATGTACACTTTGTGAGCATGATCCTGTTTGGTGTACACCTTCTTTGCAAAAGCTACCGGGATGTTTCTTGCTTTGACCGCTTTTAGCCTGTGGTCAATACCGTTGGTTATCGCACCATAGAGGCCACGCTCAAAATGGGAAGGTGGAGGGGGGGTTGGAATTGTGAGGTGGATGTGGGTACAGTTTACGCCGAAGCCCACCACAGAGATCTGGTGCTCACAGTGGGCGAGTAGATAGGCACATCTGTTGCAAAATTAATCACAAACATTATGATTTATTACAAAATATTTTAAAAGTGTATCAATAAACACAGTAGATAAATAATTTCCTTTATATAAAGTAACTGTACTCCAAACTTAACTTGAAATGTGCATATGTAAAATAGCATATCATGAACGGCAAGTCCCTACTGTCATTGTTCATTCTTCGCCATATTTGGAGGAGAAATCCAGTGACGTGTTATCTAAATATTACCATGATTATTTGAGTATCAGGACTAGTAATAAATATACTACCAAGTATTTTGAGAACACTACAAATGTGACATGTATGAATATACCAATTAAGCATACAGCTGCTTTTAGCGATAACAAGGTGGACTTCAAATCTACGATAGCAACCACTTAATCCAAGGCTGTATGGTGCATACAAGGCAACACTAAATAACCTGGTCGAATCTCTGATTCGATCACACGACCATAGGATTGTGGCAAGTGAAAGTGACAAAATATTTCACATAGACGACCGGGCCACGTCTATCTCTGAAAGTGGCGACAGTCCAACATTATTGATAGTTCTTTATGAGCTAATTACTTACAGGCCGTGGTACTTCTTGCCATTATTGGCACAATAGATCTGGTGCTCGTTGGAATGTAACTGACAGATACGATGGTGCGTCATATGGCAATAAACTGAAGTATGGTTACTTGAAGCGCCATCTACAAGTGATTACATGGTTTATGTACTTTTATGGTTGTATTTATATACTCATATTGTAACACATCAAAGCTCCTGTGCTTTTCATGAAGATTTAAAACATATTGTGTTTGAATACAAGATAGCCGTCACAGATCATCTGAAAATGTATGGTTCAAAATATAAAATATATATTCTTCTGGTCAAGCATTTATTTGTCCTTTATAAATGCTTTTGTGAAATATCTGATAATTTTCATTCCCCCTTATATGTACATACTTTGAAAGGGAAAATAATGAGGTGTGGATTTCTCTTTGGGCTCAGTACATATAAGATCATGTTTTCTTTAATCATAGTATGACACATTACTCAAAGCTCCTCTCTTTCTCTTGAAGATTTAAAATATATTGGTGTTGTAGACTTTCTACAGATTTATTGTTCAAAATAGAAAGACATGAACTTGTGGTCCAATTTTGTGTCCTTCACAAATGCTATGAAGAAATATCTGGTGATTTTCATTCCCCCTCAGATATGTACATGTACATAGTTTGAAATGTAATGCTATTATGTGCAGTTTACACTTTGATCCTGATACGTATGAAAGCATACTGATCTGTTTTACAGGTGCTTTGTTGTGCATACATTAGGTAAAAACATATTGCCCTTGATATAAAAATTCAACAAAACATCATCCAACCGAGCCTTTACTATTTTCCGTAATGAAACTTTTTACAGGGCATTTTAGGAACCTAAGTAGCCTTTGAATTATCCTTCAAAAAACATTTTATATATTTTGCTTTGTTCCCGAAATCAAGCGTATTGTCTTTTTCAATCATTTTATCTCGGCTGCAGGATTTGGGAAAACATATGATTAAGAGAAGATGGCTTAGATTCCATGAATCGGCTTCAAAGCATATTGGCAAAGTCATCGTTTTATACAGGCCATTCACAGCCACATGACCTAAAGGTAGATGCATTAGGCGATATCAAGCTGACACATTCCTGTTTTCTTCAATAAATCTAATAAACAATTTTCAGTTCTCATATTCTGATTATTACCATAAACGATTTCCCCATATGTTTTCGTAATACATTTCTTAAGAATTTGTACTTCACACTACTGACAGAGAAAATGTAGGTATTTCGTGACAAGGTCAATAAAAGTCATTTCATAAATAAGATTGGAAGTTTACAAACCTGACATCGTTGTACCGATGACAACGATGGCGACGACAACAAGAGAGACCATCGTTAACATCCAGAACACGACAGCTTTGACCTGTGACGTGGACCGTAGTTTTGGTTTTTATACTGCTGTCCACATTAGGCGACAGGTGCCAGTTTTCCAACTTCTAATCAAATCACGACCCACATTTCCTATTACACGAACAAGGCATTCACTGTGGAATATTTGACGACAAAACTCTTCCCTTTATAAGAAGAAATGTCTACAGAAAAAAGAGACAATTAAACAGTTACGAGTATTACAAAACCATTAAATAAGCAGTTGTTCCTGAATCACTATCAGTTAATGATGATACCAGGTGTTCGCGAAAAATGCGTGGTAGCTGTCGCAAACATCAAGTTTGTTTGTTAAAATATATCACAGACGCTATTGTGTTTATATTGAGTACGGATTGAGAGAGTTAGTCAGATGAGTTTTTCACCACTTTTAGCAATGTTCCAGTCAGAATGAATTTACGCCAGAAACAGGCTTCACACACTGTTGCTTGTAATGTACATTTTATTCAAATAGTATTAATAGTACACACATCGGATACAATTTAAAAGTAAAAGTAATTTGATTCATATATTGGGAGATAAGGAGTGCTTCAATTATTGAAACAATTATAACGTCAACGTCAAAGCAAAATCTGTCCCGAATATAAAAGGCAAAATAACGATGAAGATTTTATGTTTGGATTTCTAAGTGAAGTGAAGACACCACCTGCCACTCACAATTTTCACATTTGTTCCAAAGTGGGCACAGCACGAGACACAGTGAGTACTTCTCATGTTGCCTCCACAAGGGAACAGCATGGCACACAAAGCATGCTTCACCTATTATATCCATGTGGGCACAGCACGGGAAACATGGAATGCGTCATGTGGGAACAGTAAGGGACAGTACTGATTGCTTCAGATATTGTCTCCATTAGGGAACAACACGGTTAACAATATTGTCCCCTGCAGGACACAACACGAGACACACAGAATGCTTCACATATTGTACCCTTTTGGGCACAGCACAAGAAACAAGGGGTGCTTCACATCTTTTTATCCACGTGGGCACAGCACGGCACAAAAGGAGTGCTTCATGGGGTGATTATGTGCCACTATCTGACATCATCTTTGACATCATCTTTAATAACTTCAGATTGTGTTGCGTGACTACAAAGTCCTACAACCCTGTTCTATAAGATTTCAGTCCAAAAAAGTTAAACATTTATTACACTATTGTGGTTCTAGATGATGATAGGAATTAAACAAACTGAGTATATTTTCAAAGTGTCTGTCTCATTAACCTTTCATCTTAAGGTCAGATTGTGGCCTAAATTGTGACACAATGTAAGCATCAGTCTATGCACTACATTATAGACTTTGCCTTCTGCGAGTGAGGAGATGTTGGTTGTTTATACTGCTTTGACTTGTATAGTGTCCAGCTGATAGTGCTGAAGCCAAGACTCATTTATGCCTACTCTGTTGGCTTTGTGGCATGTGGTGATTCGTTGATCATATTTTATCATAGCATGCATTATGTCAACATTTGCCTTAGTGATGGCACTTGAAGGTCTTCCTGATCTTGGATCATTTTCAAGGCCCTCTCGAGGAGCATCTTCCGTACTTGGGAAGAGACATGATAACCACACTCTCAAGAATGCATATGGATGAATTCGATTATATATATCCTTAATATTGTAAAAAAATACAGTACAGTAACTCAAAAGTGTAATGCGTTCAAACAGATATTTTGAACAATATGTTATCCCTTCAACAGGATCATAGGGTTGCATGATTTTGGTGTCCCTCCTTTCAACGTTAAAGATTATCAAGATAAAAGAATTGGTTAAATCAATGCAGTGAACATCATAGGCAGTATCTAAATGATGAATATTTGTCAAAATTGTAATTTGACTGTGATATTATTAAAACAACAGCAAAAGAAAAATCGCATTAAACAACATAGTGAATTGTCGGATTCACCAGTTGTATGTGTACAGAATTTGGTGTGGTCTTACATTACGCATATATACATGTAGTGTGCACAATTTAGTTCGTATATTCTGCCTTTTTTCGACTGAAACTATAAAATGTTCCCTTCACGTGCTCACGAGTTTGTCTCTTTTCTGGTGTAATCTGTTTAATATGGAGGGTGTAAGTCAGATCAGTCGTTCAGCGATTCCATACCGACTAACACACTGTTGAAACCACCCATTGCCTTGGAGAATTTGAGAAATGCTATTCACAAACTGCAAACATACCATAAACAACATGATCACGTTGTTGGTGCCGTGATACACATTATGTTGAATGTTTTAATAACACTGCTCCTATTTATCACGACAAACGTATCTCGTGCTCGCCGAGAGAATACAACCGCAGGACTAATTTGTGTGTGTGTTGGAATAAATACATACATCATGGACATTCCACAGTAACATTTTATGAAGATGTGAAGACGACATGACAGGAAAGTTTAGAAACCAAAGACGCATTTCTTGAAAAGTTTTAGATTCGTTTGATTGATATGTATTACCATTAATGGTGAGTGCTACATTACACAAACTTGGCATCCTTGCTGTCAAACGGCCAACGTGGGTGGGTGTGTACATGTCATGTCGCGTCAACCGTATACGCATAAACCAATGAAGTGTCTGATCACTCGTATAAGCCCAGCCCAGTCAGTGTAGTGTTGTTCCTACCGCAAACGCCGCTTTAAGGATACACTAAGCATCCTTAGTAGTTAGAATGAGAACTTTTCAGCCACCTTTGGTACCCACAACTGTTATTGTAGCTCGCACTCAAACGATTTCTATATAGAAGTTCAGCTGTGAAGGTTTTTTAAGTATGTATCAAGTGGAATTATATCAGAACTTTTCTTGAAAACTGTTTACAAGATGAATACGAAGTCAGTTCCGCTATGTAACAATTGTTGCATGCCTTTCTGAATTTCATTTGTATGTTCAAAACCTAAGACCAGTTCCTGAGAGCCTTATTCCAGAGTTATCACGATCAACCGTCCGCATAACAAGGTCCTCATATCAACTCAGAAACAATCAGGGGTTACATTAGACCTATCTTATCCTGGAATTCCCATTAGTAGACAATGTTGATACGTTATTCGTGACGAGCCAGACACAAACAATATTGGAGGTTCACAAACCTGACAGCGTTGCACCTATTGCATCGAGACATAATTCGTTAAGATCCAAGACACAAATGCTTTGACCTGTGATGTGGACCGTAATTTCGCTTTTTCTTCCACACTAATGTGATGAGTAGTTGACTACTAGGCGTCAGTAAACAAAGACGTTCTACTAAGCCAGGCTTTATTTCCCAATAAGGTGTGGTAATGATTTTCCCGGTTCCAGGAACTCACTGAGATCCATCTCCGTAAGCTCGTAGCCGCCTCCTTCTTTGACCATGATCTCGTTGATCTGATCAAAGTAGTGATTGATGGACGTCCCACCTCCAGCACCGCCTATTGTGAACACAAACAACAGAACCAACTGGTTGTCGATTACGAAAAAGGTAGGGTTGCCACTGTCGGTGGTCACCTTGTACTCGTAGAAGTCGTGCCTGATGGATGTTCTCAGAGGAACACGTAGTCTCGCGTTGGTGGAGGAGTAAAAGTAAAAGTCATCAACAAGAGCCTTCTCCTCCTGGTCTGTGCTCATGGCTGGAATGTGAATATTGTAAGGCACAAATAATTTGGTCAGGTTTCTGGGCATCACTTTAGAGAAGGAGATGGTGTTGGGAACATCCCTGTCCAGTTCACCCACCACAATATCATGACCAGATATTCCGTGGACGTTGGGTCCGGACACAGTTTTTGACTTGATGACACGGCGCTCAACTACATTGTTGTTTTGATCAACAAATCTGAGAGTGGAGTTGACCTTGATGCTGTGAAGCCTTGACCACAAAGCGTGTCTTGGAGAAACCAGAGTTCCAGCATTCCTATTTGCCATGTGGCTGTTCCAGGGTGAAATGGAGGTCAGGTCAAGGCCATACGCCCAGCAGTCCTTGTTGCGAATGTACACTTTGTGAGCATGATCCTGTTTGGTGTACACCTTCTTTGCAAAAGCTACCGGGATGTTTCTTGCTTTGACCGCTTTTAGCCTGTGGTCAATACCGTTGGTTATCGCACCATAGAGGCCACGCTCAAAATGGGAAGTTGGTGGGGGGGTTGGAATTGTGAGGTGGATGTGGGTACAGTTTACGCCGAAGCCCACCACAGAGATCTGGTGCTCACAGTGTGCGAGTAGATAGGCACATCTGTTGCAAAATTAATCACAAACATTATGATTTATTACAAAATATTTTAAAAGTGTATCAATAAACACAGTACATAAATAATTTCCTTTATATAAAGTAACTGTACTCCAAACTTAACTTGAAATGTGCATATGTAAAATAGCATATCATGAACGGCAAGTCCCTACTGTCATTGTTCATTCTTCGCCATATTTTGAGGAGAAATCCAGTGACGTGATATCTAAATATTACCATGATTATTTGACTATCAGGACTAGTAATAAATATACTACCAAGTATTTTGAGAACACTACAAATGTGACATGTATGAATATACCAATTAAGCATACAGCTGCTTTTAGCGATAACAAGGTGGACTTCAAATCTACGATAGAAACCACTTAATCCAAGGCTGTATGGTGCATACAAAGCAACACTCAATAACCCGGTCGAATCTCTGATTCGATCGCACGACCATAGGATTGTGGCATGTGAAAGTGACGAAACTTTTCACATTGACGACCGGGCCACGTCTATCTCTGAAAGTGGCGACAATCCAACATTATTGATAGTTCTTTATGAGCCAGTTACTTACAGGCCGTGGTACTTCTTGCCATCATTGGCACAATAGATCTGGTGCTCGTTGGAATGTGACTGACAGATACGGTGGTACGTTGTATGGCAATAAGCTGCAGTATGGTTACTTGAAGCGCCATCTACAAGTGATTACATGGTTTATATACGTTTATGCTTGTGTTTATATACTCATATTGTAACACATCAAAGCTCCTCTCCTTTTCATAAAGATTTAAAACATATTGTGTATGAACACAAGATAGCCGTCACAGACCATCTGAAAATTTATAGTTCAAAATATAAAATATTTATACTTGTGGTCAAGCATTTATTTGTCCTTTATAAATGCTGTGGTGAAATGTCTGATATTTTCATTTCATAATTCATTCCCCCTTAGATGTACATACTTTGAAAGGGAAAGAAATGAGGTGGGGATTTCTCAGTACGCATACGATCACGTTCTCGATATGATCATGTTCTCTTTAATCATAGCATGACACATACCTCAAACATCCTCTTTTTCTTGAAGATTTAAAATATTTTGGTGTATTAGACTTTCTTCAGATTTATTGTTCAAAATAGAAAAATATAAATTTGTAGGCCAGTTTGGTGTCCTTCACAAATGCTATTATGAAATATCTAGTGATTTTCATTCCCCCTCAGATATGTCCATGTACATAGTTTGATACATCCCGATACGTATGAAAGCTATCCTGATCTGTTTTACAGGTGCTTTGTTGTGCATACATTAGGTAAAGACATATTGTCCTTGTCATCAAAATTCAACCAAACATCATCCAACTGAGGCTTTACTAATTTCAGTAATGAAACTTTTCACAGGTCATTTCAGGAACCTAAGTAGCCTTTGACTTGTTCTTCCATAAACACTTTTTATATTTTATGTTATTTCATAAATCAAGCATATTGTTCTTTTCAATCATTTTATTTCGATTGCAGCATTTGGACAAAAATATGATTAAGAGAGATGGCTTAGATTCCATGAATCGGCTTTAAAGCACATTTGGCAAAGTCATCGTTATGTATAGGCCATTCACAGCCACATGCCCTAAAGGTAGATGCAGTAGCCGATATCAAGCTGACACATTCCTGTTTCCTTAAATAAATCTAATAAACAATTTACAGTTATCATATACTGATTATAACCATAAACGATTTCCCCATATGTTTTCGTAATACATTTCTTAAGAATTTGTACTTCACTCTACTGACAGAGAAAATGTAGGTATATCGTGACAAGGTCAATAACAGTAATTTCATAAATAGGATTGGAGGTTTACAAACCTGACATCGTTGTACAAATGACAACGATGGCGACGACAACAAGAGAGATCATCGTTAACATCCAGAACACGACAGCTTTGACCTGTGACGTGGACCGTAGTTTTGGTATTTATACTGCTGACCTCATTAGGCGACAGGTGCCAGTTTTCCAACTTCTAATCACATCCCGACCCACATTTCCTAGATCGAACGTCGGGTTGTTGTCTTTTTCACAGGAGATTGTTGTGTTCCGTATTAATTCCCAGGAAACATTTATGAATGAAAAATAGTTCTTCCTTGTTGAGGTCACAGAAGTCAATGTCGTTTACCTGACCAATGAAAATCTTTCTTTGACGACAAACCCGTTCCCATACGGATAAGAAATTTCTTCCAACAGCAGAGTCCAGTGTACGCTTCCGACTATGTCATAAGCAGGTGTTTATAAATGAATTAATGAAGATTCAAAGTGTAGTAGGTGTACATTGGATACATTGTTTCTTAAGCATCTTTTGCAAGTTCTCAAATCAATTTGTGATATCATCGTTAATGACCTCATATTGCTGAAAAAAATAATATGACTACTAAGTCCCACAGCCGTATATCTGTGATGCGTATACTTCTAGGCACATCTAGGTAAACGCTCACTCTCGTCTTACTGGTGGTGATTTTAGACACTAATAGTAATTTGACAAACTGAATTTCACCTTCTTGAAACCTGTTTACAAGATGAGTACGAACGGCAAGTTCCACAAAACACTAAACTACGGTTATAATGAACTCAAAGGGACCACTCATTTTTGTTCGTTATAACCGTAGTTCGTTATAGTTTTGTTGGTTTGTTTGTTGTTTGACGCCGCACTCAGCAATATTCCAGCTATATGACGGCGGTCTGTAAATAATCGAGTCTGGACCAGATAATTCAGTGACTGACATCATGAGAATCGATCCACGCAATTGGGATCGATGACATGCACCAACCAAGTTAGCGACCCTGACCACCCGATCCCTTTTACGACAAGCATAGTCGCCTTTTACGGCAAGCATGGGTTGCTGAAGACCTATTGTAAACCTATAGAAAGAGTGCTCTGTGTTGTGATTGGCTAATTTGGGTCACATGACCAAATGTCAAAGGGTGAAAATATGATTTGCATTCCCTGAAGCAAGCGACCGAATCACTGTGTAGGAATACATAATTACTCAGCATGTTTTGCATACTAATTAACAATGGACGGAAATTGAAATACAAAATTAACATTCATAACAAATATTTTGATTTCTCTATTCATGGGAATTATTGGGATTTTAAATTTTCAATTAAAATTAATTCCCAAAGTGAAATTAATTGTGTGATAAATTTACTAAAATATATGCAAGATCTACATCATGAAACAGTAAAAAGCAGTTAACAATGATCGTGTGTACTTTCATTCAAGGACCTTCACCTCAGGGAAATTACCAAATATGTACAACAAATATGACGAAGTTTGACATCACTACCGGTGACCGAGTTTTTCAAAATGGCGTGTTGACTGTCAACAGTGCGCGGGATTTTACGAAGGGACTTTCGTTGATTCAGGGATCGTATATACATAAATGTGACATGTAAGTAATCAGAAACATTCTGACAATCTGTGTACTGTTTTTGTTTGTTGTATTTTTCATTGAAACCAACGTAAATAGTCAGAAATTCTGATAAATACCGTTGTCGTTGTGCGTGATTTTGCGTCAGTCATGGCGTCACACAGTACGGGAACTTGGACAAGTTCTGTTGAAAATATCAAATTATTGCAATGTATATATGTTTAATTCCCTAATTCTTCCTACGATTCTCTTCCCGTGTATATTCTGAAAATGCAGATCTCGAGCCAATGTACTCAACGAATAGACATTTTTTGCATTTCCAACAAGTGCAGTTTTTTCAGCGTCCGTTTTCACACCTCATTTATTTTGCTTCATTGCATTTAGATAGTTTGTATTGGTGTAAAAGACCATTTGGCATTTGATTCGAAAATGTATGAGGAATTCAAGGATGTAGGTTTCGCAGCTGAAATATACGTGATGGTATTTGCGTCTCATTACCGGTGTGCGTTATTACCAAAATCACAATCACCATAGCAGCAACAGAACGTTCGATGTTGACGCATCACATCCGAGAAAGTACGAGGTGTTAAAGCGTGCTCATGTTTTTTTCTACATAAAACAATAGGTTTACAATATCGATAAATACTATGTGTGTGTTTATTTCCGGGATTTTATCGAGTATTTGCATCTTGGAAATTTTCATTCGAGCCCCTCAAGCTAAGATGCAGATACTCGATAAAATCCCGGATATAGACACACATAGTATTTATCTTCTAATTCTACCCCGGATCTTCACGAGTCCTGAGTTATTGTATTGCTGAACAACCACGTAAGAATTGACTTTCACTTTGTGTGAGTTCAGTTGAGTATGGAGGTTCACAGAGTGAGGGCTGAAATTTATGAAAAACCGAAGCTTATGTCAATGGGGAACCATGTTGTGTGGATAATTGATGAAGTCCATGCCTCCAGTACAACATGCATTCACTTACTTCAGTCATTCTTTCAGTCATCAACATATTAAGGACCCTGCTGTCTTAAACCCAATCATGTCCAATATATAGTATAATGTTATTAGATTTCATTAAGTTTGTTTGTTATTTAACGCCGCTCTCAGCAATATTTCAGATATATGACGGCGGTCTGTAAATAATCGAGTCTGGACCAGACAATCCAGTGATTGACATCATGCGCATCAAGCAACGCATATGGGAAATGCATGAACTAAGTCACCGAGCCTGATCACCCGATCCCTTTAGTCAGCTCTTACGACAAGCATGGGTAGCTGAAGACCTATTCTTCCCCGGATCTTTACGGGTTGATTTCATTAAGTAGTGGTGAAACGAAGATAATATTCTCAGAACTATTGTTGTTTGAATTGGTGCTGGCTGCACGTCCCTAAAGGCTTGATATATAGAAGGTGCATTTCATCAGCGTTAGCATATAATAACAGCTCCCATCTATGCCTTGTAGATGTTTGTTTGTTTCTTGTTTAACGCCGCATTCAGCAATATGCAAGCTTTATAACGACGGTCTGTAAATAATCGAGCCTGGACCAGCGATTGACACCATGAGCATCGATCTACCTCTTGGGCATCAAAAGGCATCAACCAAGCGCCTGACCACTCGAGAAGAAGAAATATTATGTTACTTTCTCACCTTCACGGAGTTCATAAGCGAATGTCTCACGTACATACGGATAGAAATAATACTTAAATCAAGAAACATTCTCCTTTAAAACAGTTTGACTCGATCGCAAAGTACATTAGATTAAAATATGGAGCCGTATACAATGCATGTCTTTTTTTTATTACCATGGAAACTACTGATCAAGCATACATACTTTATCCAATGATAATAGGGAGAGTGTGACCTTGGTTGAGGAATCCGTCAAGATTGACCTCGGTGAGGCGATATCCGCCACCCAGTGTCGCCATGATGGCGTTAATCTGATCATGATAATGAACGATAGACGTGCCGCCCCCTGCTCCGCCAGACGTGAAAACAAATAACAGAACGAGCTCGTTGTTGATGACGAAAAACGTCGGGTTGCCGCTGTCGCCGACGATCTTTGGTTCATAGTAGAGATGACGTAATGAGAACTTGGATGGTTCGAGGAGACTCGCGTAGTTTGACGAGATTACACTTAAGTCATCAATCAAAGCCTTCTCCTCGAAATCGGAGCTGAAGGTCGGGAGACGGTCTTGACGAGGACCTCTGAATGATGTAAGGTTTCGCGGAAGCACTCGAGCAAATCCGATTGTTGACGGAACATCCTGGTCAAGCAGGCCAACAACGATATCGTGTCCCCAGAAACTGTGGGATGCAGGATCCACGTACCTGGGTAGAGATTTGTTTAGATCACAAAATATACCATGGTTGACTCATCCTCGATTATCCAGGGTATTATATCCACATGCTACTATTTATCATAATATAATGGTAATAGAGAATGGTAAAATAGAGAATAGAAAGGTGGTGTGTGTTTGAAAATACAAATGACTATATTTTTTATATGTTTGTTTGTTGTTTAATGCCGCATTCAACAATATATCAAATATGTGACGGCGGTCTGTAAATAATCGAGTCCGGGCCACACAATCCAGTGGTTGACATCATTACCATCGATCCACGCAGTTGGAATACGATGACATGCATGAACCAAGTCAGCGAGCTGACCACCCGATCCCATTAGTCGCCTCTTACGTCAAGCATAGTCGCCTTCAGCATGGGTTGCTGAAGACCTATTCTAACCCGATCTTCACGGGTCCCATCATTTTTATAACATGGCTTCAGGTGTATGGGCAAGTTGGGAATAACGCTGCTGTGAAATGTATGTCAGCTACATAATGGCTTGTCTGCTCAGTTAAGAAGTAAACGACGAGTGTTTATCATACAATAAAACACTGCAGGGAGAATAAACCATGAGGGGCCTCGGCAATGTTAAAGTCAATTTTATAAACAGGGGGTTGAAGTCCCGGATATTCTCACAATTTTCACGTCGATTATCTGTACTGTTTCTCCCAACACCGATTGTCATGTCTCTACCACCTTTGGTTGCGATAGTCGGCCATTTCGTTTATCTACGTTACCAAGCTACATCTATTGGGATAACTCACAAGACACATCCCTCTAATAAATTACGTCGGCCAATATACGACGTCATCAAGCTGCGAGCGCATGTTCGAATCTGCAAAATGACGTCATGTTAGAACAATGTTTTATCGTGAAATGAACCACGCTTCGTTCTTCATTGCTCTTTGCGATTTATCGCGTAGCTATTTTATATTATGGGATATAAACTCAAAGTATCGCTTGTGGAAGTCATAAGTATCTACTACCTTGGTGTAACCAACGTTTACAGGATCATAATCTGTGAGTGAGAATTGTTTGAGGTCGCTTTCAGTAATATTCTAAGAAGAGGCTTCGAACCCGCCATTGTATCTTATATAACCTGGACCAAAGTTTGTTTTAAACATAAGACCTTCTTTATACCCATTATCTATCTTTGAAAGCATGCTTTGTATTTTTAAGCATCTGTGAGGGCCGTGATTAAGACCTGTGCCTGTTTACATCGAGATAAGGCCCGTGAAAATCAGGGGTAGAATAGGTCTTCAGCAACCCATGCTTGCCCTAAAAGGCGACTATGCTTGGCGTAAAAGGCGACTAACGGGATCGGGTGTTCAGGCTCGCTGACTTGGTTGATACATGTCATCGATCCCAAGTGAGTGGATCGATGCTCATGATATTAATCACTGGATTGTCTGGTCCGGAGTCGATTATTTACAGACCGCCGTCATATAGCTGGAATGAATATTGCTGAGTGTGGCGTACAAAACATCAAGATAAGTGATAAGTTACGGCTTAAAATTGGTCCCCAGCAGCCTATGTTTGCCGTTCGAGGAGATTGTTGAATAGTAAGGAGCACACTCAATGACTTGGTTGATTGAGGAGATAAACCTACTGTGTTTTGAAATTTGATGTAGTCCCACTGTAGAGTAGATACCTCTTATTTTAGTCCAAAGACAGATGTTTTAATTTCATGGCAACCTGCTCTGCACTTTTTGGACTTCTGACTGGCCCCAAGTCAGTTCTTGGAAATCAGCGAGAGAGGTCATTTCTTGGAAATCGAGTATGCCATTTCCATTGAAGGGGTGACATTGGTTTTTAAATGCTAAACGAATATATTTCTACAACAAACTTTATGAATAAACATTCTACTATTTATTTTGCATGTCTAAGTCTTATTAGTTACTTAGCAATTACCCGCAGTAAATAATAAAAATAAACGCCTCTCCACCCCTAACTTGGATATGGCAGAACTTGACCTACATCGCAGTTACTCTCACTTCAAAGATGTCAATATGTCTGCCAATGTTTTACAGTTTCCGTGCCTCACCAGACAAGACAACCCCGATCTGTGGTGTGGTTTAACATCAACCTGTATATTCACTGGGAATGAGCCTGCTGGTACAATGTGATTATCAATGTAACTGGAGTTTGACTGAGCAGCCACTTTTCAGGCTGCAGGCAAGACGTTTTTATGGCTGCAGACAAGCCAGCTATTTTGCCATGAGGAATCTGCATGATTTGACCTGTCAATGTGAAGTTTTCACAGATTCATGGCAAGCGTGTGAAAGAAAATTAATGTGACTATTGTGGCCCAGAAACAGTGGTTCGTGTATGATTTTCTTAATTGTGCATGTTCTGAATCTCATCAAGTTTGATAAGATGCTATGAACAAGTGTGCTTTGACTTCAGTCATGTCGGGACATTGTTTTAGCCTTTCGAAAGGAGCTAGAGAATCTTGGAGTGTTTTCTGATGGACTTTTAAATCCTCTCCTGCCAAATCCTTACGGTGGTGGCACACGGAGATGGCAATGGATATCGATCACAAAAAGGTTTGTAAACAACATGTTGTCATGAATAAAGTTTCTTCAAACATGTTTTATCATTTTTTATTTTACTGTCATTGTCGGTTTTTTCAATGAAGAAATAGCCTGTTCCGATTCTGGTCGCATGAGAATTTCCCTGACAGTTTCATGAACATTTAATTTGTATGAAAAAGATATGCCTTGTGTAAACCTTGTAATGTCATCAACGTAGCAGTCAGGGTTGGGCCTAGAATGCCAAAAACATCTGATATCAAACGACCGTATTTCCTCTATTAGACGCTAAGCTGTCTATTAATTTCGCGAGAGCCCTTGACTCGGCATGTATTAGAGACCTGGCTTGTATTAGAGACCCTACGTGTATTAATGGAAATATAGATACAATTTACGGGTGATCAATCTACAGCCATTTTTTAATGAATCGATATGTAGGCTATCGATGTATTCATACACACGTTTTTTGTGTGAAAAGGCTTATTATATTTGAAGGGGGTTTCCGTAGCAAAATGGAAACCTCTTTGAAACCAATCCGAATCAAGCATTCATCACTGTCATGGTAGAATGCGTGTCATCGTCCCCCCACAGCAGCTCACAATGTCAATATTGTCTTATCCTGGGACCCATTCGACAAAGCATATCGTCGTAAGTCTATGTTCAAGTCCTGAGTTGCGATCATCTCCGCGCTAAGATCTTTTTGTGGAACATGGCCCGGACACGAGTAATTACATATTGCAGTCATATACCAGGGTGCCGTTGTACAAAACAACCCTAGCGCTAAGGTCACTTATATCCTTAAGTTTTAACCTTAGGCCTTTACTAAGGTTGACCTCCTGTTGCATGAAACTGCCTTACGCTAAGGTAGCCTTAGTTAAGGTGAAAATTTAAGGTTGGTCAGACCCAACCTTAGCGTGGCTAAGGTTGAAACTTCATTGAATTTCAACATGACTACTTTCTTGTTGATGTGTGAGGAAACTGAGAGAAGTATGAGGAAACAGCATGTTTTCTGAGATCGCACCATGCAGCTTGAGACACTGACAAACTTGGACAAACATATTTAATTCAGGCAACAATGTAGTATTTTCCAGATTATTATCCAAATTTTTCACAAACCGGCCGGGTAGGAAGGGTTTCTATTTTTTTTCCTTGCCAATTTTGGCTGAAAAAAACATCCTGTTAAAAATTAAACATTTTGAACTCAAATAGAAATATATAGATCTAATGGTGTGGAGGAATTTTTATTAATTTATTTTGGCCTGTACTTACGTTCGATATAAAATGAAAATTAATACATTTCTTCTAACACCACTGGATGTCATGTTATGCTTTCAATAATATCAATGATAGATACACAAATTTGATCTCATTTACAAAGTAACGATGCTACATCAGCTAGGCTGAATGAATGGCGAAACTTACTTTCGGCTATTGCATCCCACTCCCTCATTTTGGATTGATTGGTGATTGTTGCAGAAAATGAGCCGAATAAAACATGGCTGCGACACTTGACTTCATCGGCCAAGAGTGTCAGGTCACTTGATGTAAAGTTTGATTGCCGACACCATTTCTGTGCACTGGTAGACGGCTGTGTCATGTTGAAGTATAAATATTAGTCGTCTGCAGATGCGAGCAGGGGAGATAACTCTCAACCGAAACTACGGACATAATTGAGTCTCCCACACTAAAGAGTTCAACCTTAGTTAAGGTTGCCGCTAAGTATCCTGTCCACGTTAAGGTTGTCCAAAGGTAGTTTTGTGCAACGGGCGTAACTTTTTGATAAGGTTACCTTAAGATTAACCTTAGTAAATAAGTTCAACCTTAGTAAAGGTTGTTTTGTACCACGGCACCCTGGTATATACACGCGGCGTTAAACAACCATAAAGCAACTAAGTTTTGTTATATTTCCTCACCTTGTAGCTACGATCCTCCTGTCAACTACATCGTTCCCGGCGTCTACGAACCTGATCGTGGTGTTCACAGGGATGTTATAGTGCCTGGCCCATACGGCGTGGCGGGGAGACACCAGCGTCCCAGCCTTGCGCACTCCATGCTCACTGTTCCACGGAGACATGCACGTAATGTCAAGGCCGTACGCCCAGCAGTCGGTATTGCGTGTATAGTTCTTGTTTTTGTGGTCTTGCTTGGTGTAGATCAGCTTTGCATTCTGTGGGGAAATGTGTCTTTGGTAAATCCTTGCGATGCGGTCGTCGATTCCGTGGATGATGTTCTTGAAGAGTGCGCGTTCGAATGGCGACAGGGGAGGATCAGTGGTCGGCGGGTGGGTAGGTCGTCGGGTGACAGGGTCGCAGTGGGGACCAACGCCGACGACGGTGACGTTGTGTTCACATGACGGCATCCACATTTCACAACTGTATCGTAGGAATATGGGGAGTATAGAGGGATCGTACATGGGGTGGATTGGTAGTATACACTGAGTGTATGCTGAGTGTATACTCTATGTTATATTTCAGATGTTGAAATGTCATTGCTAAAATGTAAAATACATTATATAGTGATAACACGGCAAATATACTTCAGACATTCAGATTCATTTTGTTATGTTTCACACTTAACTTTGAGTTACGGAAACGGGCGAGTGGATACGAATAGGAGACGAGTCTACTTGCAGGTTACGGACATGGGCGAGTAGGGGACGAGTCCACTAGCAGGTTATATAAACGGGCGAGTGGTGACAAATAGGAGACGAGTCTACTTTCAGGTTACGGAAAAGGGCGAGTGGCGACGAATAGGAGACGAGTCGACTTTCAAGTTACGAACATGGGCGAGTGGTGACAAATAGGAGACGAGTGTACTTTCAAGTTACGGACACGGGCGAGTGGCGACGAATAGGACACGTGTCTACTTGCAGGTTACGGAAACGGGCGAGTGGTGACAAATATGAGACGAGTCAACATGCAGGTTACGGAAACGGGCAATTAGTGACGATAAATGCTTACAGATTGGCATAGTGCTTGCCGTCACTACCGCAGTAGGATGTTGCATCATGAAGGTGGTTCCTACACACTGTGGCGTTCAGTCCCTTGCAGTCAATACTGAGACCTTCGCCTGAAAGACAAGAGACAGTTTCCTGTTCATTATCCTGCATAGAAAGATTATTATACGACCAAGTGTGTCATACACAAGTTTGACACTCGTTTCGCAAATATCGTATGAAACACATGTGTGTGTAATAATTTCTTTATTCTACACAATTTACCACGTCAAACGTTATAGATGTTTACCATATCTATAGCTAACCGGGAACGGAAAGTAGGTCATGGTGTATTAACACTTACATCGAGGTGAATGAGATAGAGTTGCTTCCTCAAAAAGTTCACAGTTCACCTATAATTTGCGTCTGTTTATGGAATGGAAAATAATTCCAAAATGATGAAATCAATACTACGTTCACATATCGTACAAGTGTAATTTGTATAAGAATTGTATTAACGAAGAAGGTGAGGTGAGGTGAAATGGGGTTTAACGTCGCGTCCAAGATTATTGCACTTATATAGAGACGTGCATGCACGTGAATGTGTGTGTGTTAGTGTGGCTGCTTGTACTAGTCCGGACTGATGCCGATTTATAGTGCTAGCTCACTGAGATACCATGCCGCAGTTTAACATGGATACCCCACTCAGACACAGTATACTGACTCCGAGCCGACCAGTCCTTGTTTTAGCCCCTTAATGCCGAGCGCCAGAAGGGTAACAACAAGTACAATCTTTTAACGTCTTTTGGTATGACGCGGTCGGGGATCGAACCCCAGACCTTCCGCTCTCCGGGCGGACGCTCTACCACTAGACCACGGAGGCGGTCTTATTAACGAAGAAAGCGAATTTATGTAACGCAGCATCGGTATAAGTTAGACTTGGGGTGACGCGGTCACCTTCAAATCTACAACTTGCTGCATTCGTCGTCATCCAAGAACCAACAAAAACTGAAAACTGAAATAAACAACAATATATCGTGAGGATATATTATCAACAAAAGAGTCAGTTTGGGAAAGGTCAAGCGCTCTACTCGTCATCAGACATGCCAAATGGGGGTATGTTGGATTACGATATTTCCATACGGGAAGGCAGAGTTAGTGTGCGCTTTATTACTGCAGCCAATGTGAAATACACCTCCATACATTGGCAAATAATGGTGTAGATATGTCAGTCGATATGGATTTGTTGTAAAGGACGAAGCATTTGACAAGAGTGGTCATTTTTCCGCCTGATACTGTTGTAACGTGTCCACTTCCACATTGAAACAATACATTAAGCCAGAAATCTATATCCCAAAAGAATTCAGTGTGAAACCAAATATTAACAAACAAATGTTATACAATAGACAATTCGATCATAGAGTAACAACAATGGCAGTACACAATAGAGGGGCAGTACAATATTCAGTGGCAATATAAAATACAGTAGCAGTGGTAATAGCAATAAAGTCAAAGATAATAATATTCATCTAGTAGCAACATTATTCAAGCTTCCAAAATAGGTCTAGGCTGGATAGGCGACACACTGAGTCGGTAAATCGTCATTTATTTCAAGATATTTTACACCATATTGACATGACAAAGCTGTATCACCGACTTTCCTATCAAAAACACACGGACCATGGCACCTAGCACGTAATGGCTGATCAGGGATTGGCAAAAACACTAAAGCTTTATCGCCAATAATTCTAGAGATTTTTTGTGATAGTGTACTTTTATTTCGTCCTGGAATTATTAAAATTATCCCAAGCAAGTTCAAAGTTTTTAGGAAGTCTAACCTGAAATGATGAACATACTCCAACAAACTTCATTAAGCCAATACTCATTCAAGTGCCTTATGGGTCCACGAACAGTAAGGCCAAGAGACAAGATCAAAAGGCCTTAAGCATAGGACTCTTGAATTGACTCAACAAATGAATGCCTTCATCCCAATCCTACTCAAAACAGTATGTCCTTATCATATTCTTATTTGAATACACAATGCCATTTAGAAAGTGGCATATTCTTATTTGATGACACCTCTCTGAAGCTCCCTGCGATTCGGGATGATATGCATTAGACATAAGCTAGGCAAACTGGTGCATAGCCTGTTGGAAAACACATGGCATGAAATTAGATCCTGATTTGACTGAATAGTCCCATGTGAACCAACCATAGTGAAGAACATTACCAAAAGATTTTCGGATAAAGCAATTGGAAATTAAAGCTGATAAAGAAATTAAGCTGAAACAAATTGATTCACAGAACTCTCTCTCTCTAAACAGATATACAGACAATCCCAGCCAGACCTTTGAAATGCATTCCAGCCTTTGAAGAACCTTTGAGCAGGTTTATCATTGATTGTGGTGGTCCTTTGCCTAAACCTAGGTGAGGTAATCAGTACATGCTTGCTATCCAAGAGGTTTCAAGAGGCTATTCCTTTATGAATAATTACGGCTCAATTTATTATCATGGTTTTGGTAATGTCTCTCTCTCTCTCTTTCTCTCTTTTCTTGCTTAATCCGAATTTCTCTCTTCTCTTCCATTCTCAAATTTCAATTACTATTTTTATTTCTCTTTTTCAGCTTTCAATTCTTTAAGCCAATTTTCTATTTCCATTGCCATGTTTCGTCTGTTGAATTCTAATTTCTTTAAAGCCAAAACATCATCAGCCAAAATTTCGTCCTCAACGAGGTAAGTAATCTAAATATCCTTTACATCGGCCTTAAGCATACCTAATTTGAAGTAAGGCTTGTGATATTGGGCGAAATGACCAGTTCAGACATATTAAGCATAGAGACCTGTTTTGTAGATGGTTGGCGTACAAACATATCTACCTTAAACAACACCATTGTGATTGTTGGCTTCACACAATATTAGACAGTAATTTAATCCAATAATTTTGCTGAATAATATTTGTGATATATTCATTCTTTTCCCGGACGAGCCCCCAGGTTCTGTTAGGCGCCAACTCCAAAAGTAATTGCAATGGCAGTTCACAATAGAGCAGCACAAAATTCAGAGTGGCACAAGAGCAGTGGCAGTAGCAATAAAGTCAGAGATAATAATATTCACCAAGCAGCAACATAGGTCTAGCTTCCAAAATAGCCCTAGGCTAGATATCCAGGGTGAAAAATATAATCTTCACACAACTTCTGGTCTTGATGTAATTTGAGATGAGAGAGTCATGCATAGCCAACTCGTGTAGTCGAAACACCTTCTAGAAAGTTCCATATCATGCTGGATTAGCCTATATCTGTTCCAGAAGATTCCAATTTACACTTGACTCCAAAAGCATGAAAAATACAGTAACCATTGCTTTCAATAATACATTTCTGACAACTAATTATTGTTAAAACACACTATTATGAACTTCTACTGAATCTTAACAGAAACAAAACAAAAACAATTACAACATTATTTAACAATACATAACACACGATCCCGTTTGTCACCTCTTACGACAAGCATAGTCGCCTTTTACGGCAAGCATGGGTTGCTGAAGACCTATTCTAACCCGGATCTTCACGGAAACCCAGTAGAGTAATCTCTGTAGAACATTATCGACAATGTTAGAATATAAATCGCCAATTTAAGAATGATATAATATGAAGGCTAGAAAAGACATGGAAATTACTTACAGATACTTGTCACTAGAACTAGAAAGTAAACAAGTCGTTTCATGACGTCCTTATCGTATACTGTTTGAACCCGTAAATAACCGACGAACTATTTAGTGACTGATAGCATATCTTTGACATACTAGTTAAGTTGTAGAGCCAATCCCATAACATTCAGAATATGGATGGAATTAGACTCGTAGCAAGAATTAGGGAATGATTTGGTATATTCAACAGAAATTGTCAAAGTTTCCGTCCTGCGTGGCGCCATGATTGAGGCAAAATCACGCACAACGACAAGGGTAGTTATCGGGATTTCTGACCATTTTTCTTGGTTTCAATGAAATCATAAATAATATAACAGTACACAGATTGTCAGAGTGTTTCTGATTATGTTGATGTCACATTTATGTACATACGATCCCTGAATCAACAAAAGTTCCCTTGTAAAATCCCGCGTACTGTTCTCCATGAACACGCCATTTTGTAAAAGTCGGTCACCGGTAGTGATGTCATATGTCAACATTCTTGCACATATTTGGTAATTTCTTTGAGGTGAAGGTCCTTGAATGAAAGTACAACTGTACACACGATCATTGTGTCCAGCTGTTTACAGTTTCAATTATGCTGTAGATTTTGCATATCTTATATAAATTCTTTTGCACAATTAATTTCCCTATGGATATTTATCAATGTTCAGTATGATATATGTATACATAGGCCACAAAATGTTTGAACCTTTGCTTATCTCCTGTTTGTTTAAACATTGATTGCATAAAAAATTGAAAGAATTGATAAGTTTATATTGTCGTATTCGATATTTCTTGCCTTAAGTCGAGTGTTGGAAGATGAAATGTAACAGCAACATGTACGTATTTCTTTGCAGGTTCTAAACAGGTTAATTAACAGTCGTTTCATTTTATTTTCCAACTTAAACTGAATAAATATTTACAATAAACAAATGAATATTATGTTTTGTTAAATATATATTCACACATTTTTAGAAGAATTGTCATGGAATTGATTTTTTATGTCGTTTGATACACAGAACGGTCATGTGTAACGATAAGCCAGGTGTGCTTTAGTCACAAACGATTTACGAATTATTCCTCTTGTTTTGTATTATATAACCAATGGGTACACCTTTTTTAAATATTGTGATCACGGGATGTTAAACTGTTTACTTCATTCTCCAAGAATTGTAAAATGTATAGAAAATATATACCGTGCCATGTAACAAAGGAGCTTTCTTCGCATATTTTACTGTATAAATCATAGACGAGATAAAGAGAAATTGTCACATAAAAATTGTCCAATATTGAATATAAATTTTGTTTGTTTTGAAATATTCTTTTGGGTATTTGATTTCGTAAAATCTATACCAAACAGGTGCGTGTCTTGTCCAATTAATAATTGTCCATGGTAAACTATCTAATTGTTTATCTGTTTAAGACATTATTGACATGGTAAGAGCAGCCGTTTTATGTTGTGTCGAAAACGCGTCAAATTCCGTGAAATTGTCCATACCATGAACACAAATTAGGGAAGTTATATATTAATCAAAACACAAATGTCGTCTTTCTGCGACGTAGTCAAGGACATTGAACCAGCCATGACGTCAAATAAAATGGTGTCATTTTACATTAATTCATTACATTTGATGAAAAGGCTGGTGCTCCATTAATAATAGTGCAACATTAGTCAAATTACACTTGCACAATCAGGAGAATGTTGGAATCGAAGGACTAATTTATAGGTTAGATAGGGCCATCCATTTCGATATTACTTTCTTTGTTATGAAGTATGATTTAGTCGATTCTTATTTTTTATATCTGAACGTATACATCTCAACATCGATATTTGTGATGTAATAGTTAAGTTCCTGGTAAACACAACACAACGAAAATATATTGTCCTTATCCACAGCTTATTCTCACCAAGTGACCTGAATTGCAATAAACTACTACTAAGCATAGCGGAGTTATGACCCCTTTTCTTGTACGTCTGAAACCTATCTGTCGTCCTTTGACGCCATAGGGGAAAATCAGTTTTCGTCATTTACGGCAAGCTATTTATTGTATTGAATGTGCAACTCTGTACATGCGCATATAAATCAATTTCATATATATTTATGTCGCTCAGTTATTTGGCAATATGTTGTTTGCTCACACTTTCCGTAAAACTGCTAAATAAAAAAAAACGTCGCACAGTACGGTTATCGGTGTACGATAAAAAACAGAACATTGCTGTTTTTCAACGCAAAGAAAATCTCGGACAACACTTAGCAATGTCTCTTTTTCAAAACGTTTTAATATCTTCTTTTAAATATACACTGTCAGATGGGAAAGTTAATATTCGACAACTTTGCGTAATTTAAGTGTCGGAGGTAGATCAAGTGCCGGGCGAGCGCAATTCTTGCATAAGTTTCACTTTAATTTAGCATCCAGTGGGGCTAAGTCCATTATTTTGTCTTAACTCTTAAGACTGAAAACAAATTAAACGTCTGTCGAAATCATATTTTTATCGAATAAACAACATGTGACCATGTTTTATAAAAATGTTGGCATCTATTAATGATTATATTAAACAGACAAAAAGATATTATACAGACAAAAATATTTAAATTTGATCATTAAACAGTATACATAGCTCATTACTCGCAATGACATACCTCCATCATATCCACTGGTGCCATCTACAAGTTATTGCGTCATTGACTGTATTTTCATTTTTGATTGTATGCATTACTGTCGCGGTATAAACATATATACTTACGACTTGTTTGCCAGTCCAGTCCGTGTATAAGTTATGCTAATGAAATGTGTTTATACCATTGTCCTAACATTGTTCAGTATGTTGTCTTTATGCCAGTCAATTAGCACAAATTCAGATGAAAGCAACAATGCATTCATCCTTTGAAAAGATACGACTGCTTATAGGCTTCTTATTAAGTTTCTTTTGTTACCCTTCCTTCCCGGAGGTGACTTCTTTCTGGACATTTAAATACAGACGTTCATCATAAGTGAAAGCTTGATATAGTCCATTCCTGTGATTTCATGAGTGAAATGTATTCCTTGGTGAAAACAAATACCATTATCTATTCATGTTAGGAAGGTATCAATCAGAAAAAGGTGGCGAACCATTAAGAAGATTCTTTTGAGAGAACGATTGATTAGGACTAAACAGGAGCAAGACGAAATAAGAATGTAGGCACTGGTCACATAGACTTCTGGAATTCTTCGGTTTAGACTGTAAAGACATGCTTAAATTCCGGGATATGTTATTTTTCAAATATTTGTTTTGTCAACATTTTCACAGCATAAAATAACATCATATATATTAACTTGTAGAGCTGCACGTTATTCGGCTAATGCTGTTCGTTATCAAACAAATATTGGAGGCGTATCTGCCACCTCATTTTACTGTCTGTCAGAGTGTAGAACTAGAGTTGTCATCTTTCCCAAAAGTCAGCTTTCCCTATTTTCGAGCAATATTCCAGCAACTCCAACCTTTGGTGTCTACATTTCACAACTTTTGAGGTACAATCGAACATGTTCTTACTATGCATATTTCAAAGGGAGTCATACCACATGTACTCTTGATCATAAGTTTTTTGTTAGATCATATTTACAGCATTTAAGAAGTAAGTCACGATTTCAAAATGTGTTATGCTGGACACATGTTCGTGCAATCCAATATTCTACGGATGCTTTTTTTTCTCTACTATCCTAACTTTCATGCAAAGGGTGGCTTGATTTTCTGTTGATGCCTGACCTATGATGCCGACCTATGAACTCGCATCGATCATTTCTGTTATGCCTCTCCAACATAAGCAATCCACAAAGGATAGATTCAATGCTGTAGATGACGGATTTATTTTTTCAAGACAGGTCAATAAAGATTTTTTGCAATATGCTTCAGCTGTATAGGTACATTTGAATTCAGGATCACTTATAAGACAAGTATGATCATGGCGATAAAATGAATATGATTATCAAAAATAAAGGAACGAGTACATCAATGTCTATCGTATCATTGTGTACCTCCTTCAGAATACATGTAATAGTATATTTATACAAGAATGACTGTAATGTTTAGTTGAATGTATACCCTAGCTGTGAAAATATATATTAAATGTTACCATCACTCAACGAAAATGTACAGTTTAGTTTTTGACATAGGTGCTTTGATATTTGCATTGGCAATGAGAGTATAAGGTTTCAAATAATGAACGGGCTCCATTACTTTGTTCAAGATATATGTCTTTGATCCCACTTTTTCAGGTACCTAATGTAAGCCTATTTAACGCCACTGTTACAAGTATGTAAATATAGCGAGATATTATACCAGGCATGACGGAAGACGATTTAGACGTTACATGTATGCCTCAAGTGTTTGTTTGTTTGTTGTTTAACGCCGATCTCAGCTAATATTCCAGCTATATGACGGCGGTCTGTAAAATAATCGAGTCTGGACCAGACAATCCAGTGATTAATATCATAAGCATCGATCCACGCAATTGGGATACATGCATTAACCAAGTCAGCGAGCCTGACCACCGGATACCGTTAGTCGCCTTTTACGACAAGCATAAGCCTCAAGTGTTTACAGCAATGTGCTTATAAACAAGATATGAATGTGATAGTCATTTTGCCTAGACAGGAGTGTACTTATAGACAGTTGTGTGACTGGTATCGTTGTGTACTGGATCATTTTCCTGTGCACTGGTATGTAGTACTTGTGGCGTTGTGTCATGTTCATTTTCCGATATAATAATGAAGCTAGTGCATACATTTTGGGGATATTATGTTTCTCCTGAATGACAACGGTACTGATTGATTTTTGTATGACTTCGCCAGAACAACAAGTTTACTTGTCGCAATACGCTCGAGAAAAAGTACTATATTCAACAGATATATATATTAAGACTATAAAAAACCTGTCGTCGAAGGACAGTAAAATAACTAGATTTATCACAGATTATATTTAAAGCTTGTAGATAACCATAAAATATAATACCATACGTAACAGTACAAGATAAAAATGAGCTATAGATCGCAAACCACTGAAGGTAGATCACCATTCTGGGGTCCATGGGGA